GACTAAGAAGTCATAATTGCAGTGGCTTGAGCACGTTTTTCGACTGCATTATAAAAAGATATCAATATAACTACGACTTGCTCGACCGGCAGAAGACCCTGAGGAGGCCAGAAATAATTCGGGGCAAGTGTTTCAACTAAACGGACTCGGATCTGTCGAAGCTCAGACGCTGGTGCAGGATCGGGAAGGTTTGAAGTACGGCATGGCTCTCTGCCTATGATATTCAAAAAAATTAAGTGGTCATAGTGACTGACAGCCTGCGTTATTGTTAGCAGTTATCAACAAGAAAAGTAAAGGTAAAAAGCAAATATAAAGTGAACGAAAAATGAGTTTATATGCTTGAATTTAACGCAACCTAGTTTCTCAAGCCATGGAATTTAAAATTACCTGCGATGTGCAGAGCTGAATAGCAAGAATATGCATAGGTATCAATTATCTTGACTACGGAAATGCCCATGTCTTATTAATTCGTTTACAGATTTTCTCAAAACTTTGTCAATTGCCAAAATTCATCCTGAAACTGTGTTTTTGTAAATATGAGCTTTTGCCTTTGCACCTTAACACCTAAAAGACAGGAAAAATTAACGGAGTTAGAGTAGTTCGCAAAGTTACAGTCAGAATTTCGTTGGTTCGAATCTGCGTCAAACAACTCGCTTTTTATTTTTCCATGGTAGAGAAACGAATGCCTCTGTGGAAAGGAATCAGGGAACTTTGCACTGTAGTGACTGCAAAGCTAAATAAACGTGGCCTTGAAAACAAATGGCCATACCAATTTGTTGTATCATGATGGATATGACCATTGTGCCGTAAGCCTTATGAATAGCTGCTAAAACAATTTTGCAAAGTAGCCGGAAAACAACTATTTCGGCAGTTCCAACGTTCCATTCCGTTATACCGGACAAACGAAGTTTTATTTCTAATTTACAAGTAGGAAGCACAAGTCCATTGTTGATTGCAATTTTAATGAAAGGAACAGTAGACGCGAAAAAGATATTTATGTTATCCTTCTTGTTATTTGTTGTTCGAAATTGCCTTTGTTTATCAGCCCGTACTGATGCGTCTGCGAACAGCTGCGAAGAACTTTTTGGCGATGAAAAGTTTGTAACCATTCGAACACTGGGCGAAAATTATATGATCAAACTTGCTTTGAGTAATTCGAAATCGAAGCCTCTTGCCGTTTTGATGAAACGTGTGAACAGCCGGCCGTACTACGATTGCGGAAAACAAAAATCACCGATCATTCGTTTAAACCTGGCTGATAGACGGTCCAGACTAAGTCTAACGGGGCTACCATCGCCGGTAACACTGTTTACTTGCACGATTACTGCGCAGCGCCGTACGCTTCGTTTTTATGCCAATCGGTCTTGTGATGAAAGAGAACGACTACCAAGAATGCTAGAGAAAAGTTGGCAAGGCAGCACGTACTAGCAATGAAAGAATCAATTATCCAACATCCGGTTCACAATGGAACGAAGATATTGGACTTGCTTTGATCGCAATGGACTGGAACGTTCCGAATGGGTCTTGGCCCCCCTTTATAAACCTGTCCTACATGTTGGTCGACGTCTACTCAACGACGATTACCGATAACGACATCAGACAGAGTTGGCAGCGAACGGGTCGGTTCTTCTGCTGATCAATGGACACTAATGTGGACACGTTACTGGACGCAGTTGGCGACTTCGGCGTCTACCAGAAGATCATGTTCGCCCTGCTATGCATTCCGGCATGCATTTCTGGCGGTTGGACAGCTTTCAGCCATGTGTTCATCGTTGCCAGTCCGAGACATGTGTGCAAATCATGGTTTTCGGGTATCGGCGAGAAGCAAATGGTGTTCGACAATCTTTCAGTCATCGTAGAGGCCGGACACGCCACCAACCTCTCGGAAGACGTCCTGTCATGCTACCAGCAACCTGTCGGCCGGAACGAGTCCTTATGGAACGATACCATTGGATTGACAGCATGCGAGGCAGGTTGGATCTATCAAA